AGTGCTCTGCATGGCTGCCAGTCCACAACTCTGTTGTTATGGTGGCAGAAGCAGCAGGAGCAGTGCCCAGCGTGACTGCCGGTGCACAGGCCATGATTGTGTCTGGTCGTCTTCAGAGCCTGCTTTTTAAGCAGGTCTGGTAGTCCCAAGGGGTTTCTCTTTTACCAGCAGGTATGTTCACGATTGGTCACCACCAGAGTTAACTTTGTAGACTGGACGTGGTACGTGGAACCCAATGTGCAGAAAATGACTTGTTATTTTGTCTTCTGCTTTCATGGCGGTCACATCTGGCCATTCTGCAGAATGAATCAGAATGAGATCTAATTGCAACAGAGTATAACCATTGCAATGATTTGGTCATGGCAAATCCACCATCTTAGTCAGAAGTCAGTCAAATAAATGGGTGTTTAACCAAAGTTTACTACAATGTGATGAATTTGGTCATTAATAAAAAAAAAAAAAAAAAAAAATTAAAAAACCTTGAAAGTAATTACAACAGTAGTCTGATGTAGACATCACTGTGAGTTGGGTAGGGAAAGATTGCAGAGATGCATTTTTATAAAACTGATTACTATCAATTCTAACACCCCTTCTTTTTTTTTTTTTTTTTTTTTTCTTTTTTTTTTTTTTTTTTTTTTTTTTTTTTTTTTTTTTTTCTTTAAGTGGATCCTAAAGAAGTCCAAGTGCAATGGAAATTGATTTAGTTTTTTGTACTGAGCTCTGATTGGTCAGAATGATAGTGCACTTGGATTCTCTTAAAATAGTAAAGTTATTAGCATCAACTCTATATAGGAAAAATTCTGCTATATCTACAAGAGAACACGAATATTGGGCACATGCACTCAGATAGTTTTATGGGCATTTTTCATATACACTTACAAGTATTTATTTTCATTATTTAAACTTGAATCCCTTTGTCATAATAAATTTTTACCAGTTGTAGTATTTTTTTACAGGGTTTTATTTTAACAAAATACAATAAAAAAAAAAAAAAACTATCAAATCAAGGAAAAATATAGTTTTCATAAAACCCTGATGAAAAAATTCTTTAGTGTATGATAGTAATTTCCCTTTATTGCGTGGGTGCATTTTCATTTTAATTTGGAATTGTGGTGAGTTCAATAAAATATAAAAATAAAAATGTACAAACAAATAGAAAAGAATTCAACTTAAAACAAGGCATTTGCTTTCTCTTAAAATCTTTATCACTTTTTCTATTTTTCACTCTCTTTCTATATATTTCTCAATCAAATAAAAAGAGGAAGAAAATGAAAAGACTAACCCCGACTGAAAAACATCAGATATTGATGGCCCAGTGGCTAAATAATTTATGGCAAAAACCATGTTTGCAGCTTTTGATAACTCGAGGTTAAATTTAATAATACACACACACACACACACACACACACACACACACACAGAAAACATTTGCTTCTGCTATGGCCCTGTTACATGACAAAACATGCTAAACACTGCTCTCTGCCAGGTATCCACATAGAACAAAGAGATTAAATAAATGCATGGACAATCTACTCTTCTTATCAGACCAGGAAACCTAGTTTCTCTATCTATTTCCTGCTGTGACAAATATTCAATGAAAGTTGAATTGAGGCTTTCTCACTAACCACAAAATCAACTTGAGTGACCAGGAGCAACAAATAAAAAATATGTCCAGGTTTTGAACCTTTCACCAAAGCTAATAGGATTAGCTAAGGAAATCATGTAAGACTGGCAATATTAAGTCAAAATCATAATAACTTCATTTGTCAATACAAAAATAATAGTGTGATTGTTTAATGAACAATAAAGGTATTAATGATATTAAAATATATATATATATATATATATATATATATATATATATATATATATATATATATATATATATATATATATATATATATATATATATATTGAAATGGATTAAGTCCAACAATTATTTAGTATATTTTCTGTTTATACATTATCTTAATAGATACAGTTTAAGTAAATGTCCTCTTTTTTTTTTTTTTAAAAAGTAATGGCATATATCGGCCTGAATATCATACATATATTAGAGAAATTTCATAGAAAATATGTGCTTCTCTGACAGGAATTGAACCTGTAACCCCCAAAAGGAACCATCATTTGATCTGATGTGCTTTTAACCATTCAGCCACAAAGAAGCATCTAGTTAGCAAAGTCTGAATTACTGTTTATAAGATTGTTGAAGATTTGTTCTTTATGGAAGTAAAACCTTTTTACTATCAACACCAATTCAGCAAATACTTAAATGGATTAATTTATTTATTTATTCTTGTCACTGTGCATTGTTCAATGAAAGTGGACAGCACTCCCCGGGTGTGTGCGCAAACACGCACACACACAGAGCATTGAATGCAGAAAAGTAGTACATTTAAAATACATGAAAATTGTCAGCATAAGGCAGTGTTCATTTTACACAGGACCAAAGATAAAAGTTGTTCTTCAAATGCTTTGTCCTAGAACTAATAGAACTAAAATATTGCTTTGAGGGTAACAGTTCAAACAAGTGGTGCCCAGGTTACGTGCTGTCTTTCATTATGTTTTCTTCTCTGCTGTGCCAACAAGAATTAGAAATGTTCTTCAAGAAAGGCAGTGAGCAGCCAATTATTTATTAATGGTCATAGCATTAAAATGGAACATCAGGTTTAAGTGCTGACCTTCATACTAACATTTTACCACATAAACAAAATGAATTTGTTTTACAGATTTTACAAGTACAATACTGACTTTTTCTTTTTACCTATCTCTAAGTACTTTTCTTGCTGATAAAATCTATATATTTTTATTCCCTTTTCTTTTTTTTTTTTTTTTTTTTAAATTAAAAAAAAAAAATACATCTTCAAATCTTATATGTAAGCTAAGTTAAAGAAAATATGAAAATTATTCTTATAGCTATCCTTTAAAAGGATAAGATGAACTGAATAAAAACTATCATAAATAAAAAATATACTTCTAAGGACTGTGAATGAACTCATTGAAAAATAAGAAAATAGATTTTATGACATCAACAATCTTGAGATTAAATCTCTTCAAAATTTATGTTCTCAGTAGGGCTTCTACTGAAAACATAAATTCTGAAGAGAATTACTTTAAAAATATTTCATAATTTTCTCTAAACTCATATTATGGAATATGCATTTCTTGTTTCAGTTTTCTGAAGACCAACTTGTCCAGACATCTGAATCACATGTCTTTATGTTTTGCATATTAACTGGAACATTCCTTGGTAACTGCACCAACAAGTTTGTCAGTTTTTTTTCCTTCCAGTAGACTTCTTGTTGAATTATATTTGGTGTCTACTGACTGTGAATACTTTGATTATAATGTAATTATAATACAGATGAATAAATCAACTACTCTTAACCTATGATTTCAATCTCTCTCTCAGTAACTAAACACTTGATTGTACCATTGAAAGTATATTCAGGAGTAATTCCTGAAAACATTTCAGTTTAACTACTTAAAGAAAAAAACAGCCTTGTCTAAAAAAGAAAATGGATATAAAGATGTTTTCTAAATACAAAATACTACTTTTTTTCTTAACCCTATAAGACTAACCATCAATTAAAGTTACACCATTACTAACCATGGGTATATCATACCTGATTTTGAAAATATCAAAAAAAATATTAAATATAAATCTTTATTTGAAATATTTTACATGCAGGCACTTCAAACTTTGTACTTTGAGCTAACATTAATAGGAACTGAAAAACATTATTTAGGTAAGAAAATCAGGTACTGAAAATTGTAATTAAAAATAGGAAATTTGTACTGGGTGCTATATACTTATTGTTAGTGTTCTAGGGTTAATATGCAATAAATGGGGGATTTTAAAAGTGAGGTTGGAAAAAAAATTAAATGGTCAGAAAGAGTAAAATTAATAAACTGGATGATATTGGAAAGCATGGTGGGAGTGTCAGTAAATTTCCTGAAAAAGAAAAATTCTAGAGTAATTGGTCATGGTTATATGCAATTGGCAGAAATGCCTATCAAAATTGACAAAAGTTTCCAATAAATAATAAGTAGAAGAAAAAACAGGACAAAAATACTATAGATACGAGTATGCACAACCAACAAAATGCAAAGTAATTTCTTTAATTTATTATAGAATTTTGCTTCAGTCATTTAAAGAATAAAAATAATTTTACTTCTCATCATTTACACTATTTACATTATTCAGACTATTGTCCTCATCTTTGTCGCCATATTTATTACAACGTTTCAGCCGTTGTATGCACCAGCCTTCTTCAGGTGGTTGGAATGTCAAACTGAACCCTTTATTTCGCTCACTGGGGTAGATTTAACCAGTTAAGGCAGTGGAGAACTTGGAGAGGAGAATTAACAGGAGATAACTGATAACTGACATCCATTAAGCATGGCACTTGGAACTAGAACAGTCTGCTTATTTGATGTGTTTTGTCACTAATTTCCTCATCTCTGAACGAAAACTGGATATGTGTACATGCTTCTAAAGTAGGATTCATCAACATTCTAGAAAACAACAGATACCTGAAGAAGGCCAGAGAGTACACAGCTGGAATGTAGAAAAACACAAACAAGGAAATTAATCAGAAGAAAACCACATCTGCTGGTTAAAACAGGATGTCTAACAAGATTCAGACAAGAACTAACAACTTTTACAAAAATAAACGTTTTTGTTGTAACATGTAAACCTGCTACTTACATAATTGATTGATGAAAACTTAATGATGCATTAGATATAGTTATTAGCAGCTAAAGCGCATTTATCTGGACATTGTATTTCTTTGTTTGCTTAGATCTTTTAATGAGAATCTCTGATGTTTTAATAGAAACTAAAAAATTAATATACAAAAAAATTTGAATTATTTGATGACGTTAGAATTGTCATATTTGGTCAAGAAAAGTTTTAGCCTCTACTTATTTCAGGAAATGGTTTCTATTTTGGAATGTTTCATTAGGGAATTACTGACAGTTATTTTTTTGATTTACAGCCCATATAGGACCTCCTGGGTCAAGCAAAAAGTCTGGAGGCATTGGAACTGGTAAACAGACACTTCGATTACGTTCCAAAGGACCTGCTACAGTGGAATCAGTTGTAAGTTGTTTTTTTTTCTTTGTAGACAATAATAAATTCCTCCTTTCTTAATAAGTTTGAAAAGGGTTCAGAATATATTGTATTTTTTATACTAGTAACTACACAAACGCATACAAATATTACATTTTCTTTAAGATTTCCTGAATTCATAGGCTATGGATGTAATACACACTGTTTAATAAATAGAAATGGGGCATGTATTTCAAATATGAAGTATCCACTATAATAACATTTGAAGTAATAAAAATGTTGAATTAAAAATATATCCATTAATTCTTTAGGAATTGGCTTGTTTACACTTTCGATACAAAACTGAACAGATACGAAGCTTTTGAGAAAATGATCTAGGTGAAGAGCATGTCCTTTCCTTAAAAAGGGAAAAATATAACCTTGCATGCTATGATGTTCCTTGTGATCGAGTGGTAAAGTACAACAAATCAAACAGTAGTTTTTCCTAAAAAGGTGGATGCAGCTTCAATCCCTGTTAGAGAACACATTTTCTTGACTAAGATTTCTCTAATGCACTAATATAATGCAAAGTACAATGGGTAAATTGTCGCCATTTTATATTTTTAATTTTGTTGTACATGGACATTGCTTTTGAGTTTGTCAACTGCACAATATAGTAGGGTCAATTGGGTACCATCTGTGAGAAAAACAGCACCAAAACACAATTCACTCTGCCAGGAATTTGGAAACAGTATGTTATACTGCTTGACATTCACATGAGAAGCTCCAATATGAACATTTCAGAGTGTTTGGTCATGTTGATCTGAGGACAATACAGAGGATTCAGAAAGAGTTGGATGAGTCTATTAGTGATTACGAAGGTACAGCAGCTCAGAAAACTCACTCTGATCATTTTGATAAGAAAAGAACTCCCAAATTTGTTGGTGAGGGCCTCAGATTCAACCTATATCAAGTGACTTGAGGAAGTAGTGCTACCCAAGGTCAAGAGGGTGGCTGCTGGCAGACCCTATGTCTAGCAACAGGACTCTGCACTATGCCAAACAAGCAGAAGTACCCAATCATGGCTGTCAGACAATTTCTGCAACCACATCACCCCTTACATCTGGCCACCTAATTTCTCAGACTGCAACCCCCTTGGTCATTATGTGTGGGACACAGTAGAGCAAGAAAACAACAAAATTCCTTGTGACACCAAAGATGAACTGAAGACGAGGATTATGACAGCATTCACCAACTTAAAGAAGTAGTGTATCCAGAAGAGTTGCAGGAGATTCCGAATTCATCTGGAGGACATGGTTGAAGTCAATGGTGAATTTATTGAATAAATTTACTCTTTAGTATTTCAAGATATTTTTGTATAGTTTTAGTAAATATATCTACTAAAATGAGATGTCTGTGCTATTTTGATTTTTGTGTAATTTAGACGACAATTTATCCACCGCACCATCAGCATCCCAACTAGAGTTTCATAGGCAGATTTGTCCATTCACTATTCAGGGGGTATCAGCAAGTTGCTCTTGACTAAAAAAGAGAAAAAACACGTATGACTTTTAAAAATGGTGTTTAATATTTTATGTTCTTTGCTTTAAGTGTTAGAGTTTAAAGATAGAAATCCTTCAGAATGGGTAGAAATTAGTCACAAGCAATGCCAGTTTGGGAAAAATATAAGATTTCATTATTTTAAACCCACACAAATACATACACATGTAAGTCTTTTTTTCACCTTTGATCTGATGAAGTATAATTGGTGAAATGCGTAGTAGGATGTTTTTGCAAAACGTTATACTTTCATGAACTTTTCAATTGTCAATAATTTATAACTCTGTTGGGATCATATACCCAAATTTATAACACACTCACATGCACACATTATACTTATATATCTTCACTAGGCTATTATTTTGTTTTTTTATTTGGTTTGGTGATATCATAAATATTAATTGTACATGGTTAAGTTTATAATTAAATTTTTATGTATTATTATTTGGATTTATGTCCATATGTCTTACCTATTTCCTAGTGTAACAAATAATTATCTTTTGAAAACTGACATGTACAAGTAATAAATCCTAATGACAAGAATCTTTTTAAAAAATCACTTCCCTTTTCTACTGATAATGTTGATTAATAACATGTTACAAGAAAGTTGATATCTATATGATTTTAACACAAGGTGATACCTATCTTTGGATTTATCTTATATATTATATATATATATATATATATATATATATATATAGTGTGTGTGTCAATTTTCAAAAGCTTTATATTTATCTCTGTCTTTATTTATATAAATCTCATTTTCAGATATAACATTTTTCTTTATTTCTAGACTCATGACTTTTGGGAGCTCAAGAAGCCAATTTGAATCTACTCCACTCTCCCCAAAAAATGAATTACAAAAACTTTTTTTTTAAGTAACTGTTTTAATGTTACATGTCTAATAGAAGAGCTGGATAACATTTCCATCCTTCACTCTCAAGCTTATTAAACCCCCACCCTATTTTTAATTTTGCACTTTTAACCTTTTAAAAATATTCTGACTTCTCCAAAGTAGATTATTACATAGATTTTACAGATATTTGACTAACACTGCAAAAAAAAAATGCTTTGGGTATGGTTGAGGCCTTGTTGGAATCATATTAGCAAGTCCATTCAGAAAAGGGACAAAATTTTAAATTTTCCAATAATCTGGGGATTCTGGAGCTGAATTTTCATATTTGAGCCAAATTGGAATAATTTGAGTAAAAAATGCCTGGGAGAGGTTGAAGGTTCATTTTATTTGTGTTAGTGAGGACATTCTGAAAGTGATAAATGTTTGGAATTTTCTTAAAATCTGGGGTTCTAACTGAATTTTCATATTTTAAGAATCTGGGGATTAAAACCCCAAATTGGGATAATTTGAGTTAGAAAAATGATTGGAGTTGGTTAGGGCTCATTTGAATTGGTAGAGCCATTCAGAAAATTTTTAAAATGTGGTTGTTTGGGGCTGAATTTCCCTATTTGGGCATGAAAGTGTATATTTTTGGTTCAACATTCAAAGTGTGTTGGGCTTACTGAATGAATACCTATAGGACAACTTAGAAAAACTAGAGAGTTTCTCAATCATCTATCTGACAGAAAATGAATGAATTAGTAAAGTTTTACAAAACTTATAGGTTAACAAACTAAAACAGATAAGCAAAGGAACTTTCTAGTGGGTTAGTTCATACTTGAATTAATTGGGTGCATTCGACTTCATCATTTGATATTATGCACAATCTGACTTAGTTTCAATACATGATTCATAAGATGGAGACTTTTCAGTTGTCAAAACTTCAGATTCAACAGGTCAACATGAAGGGTAAAAATATTGAAAATATAATCTCTACTTATATATATAAGTGTAGCATATTATGCTTTGAGGATTTTTTCCTATTTTCCATTCATGTTAAAAAATATTGTTATTTTGGGAGTAACAATCAACATTTTTTTGTGGAATTTTTGGCAGAAAATCATTAAAATATGGTTATTTTCTGGGTGATTCCTGAAAATTTAAGGGATTGAAGTATCAAAACATATGTGATGATTTCAGGAAGTCTGAGTTGATTTATAGTCTTTAAGAATTTTATTGCTCATTTTGACCTACTTGTATGCACACATGCAGAGAAAATCATAAAATATTTAGGCCATGATTTCTTTTTTTAAATTTAATTTCCAGAAGTCATAACTTTTGACTGTGTATGAAAAAATGTTTCAAAACTTTTGAACGGTTTTCAAGATTTTAGAAATGTCTATAGCTTACTTAAAAGTGACAACTTTAAAAATTGCTAATGTCTGGATTTAGTCCTCTGCACCTACCAATTATTAAAATCCCCACCTTGTATTAGGCACCTAATAGTAAGTGCTTTGGATTGACTGAGACTTTTACAATACAAAGAATGACTGCTTTGCTATATATTTTCAATAAACAATTTTTTAAAAATGAGAACTGTTAATGCAAATTGTTTCAATGAAAATCAAAAATGTCTATATCATATCATTGTAAAATGTCTATATCATTCATTTCCTAGGGTATTTTTATGTTGACCTTTAGTTTTGCACAATATATACTTATATAGTTCAATGTTAAATTCAGTAGCTCCTGTGACCTTTACTACATTGACAGATTTTTTTTACTTTTGTTTGGAAGTACTATTCAGTATGTACATTTAAGGTTAATAGTTTAAATGTCATACTTTATAACAAAAAAAAGCAATGCAAAAAAGATTGCTAGGTTTCTTAATTTAAATTGTTATCATCAAAAATTGACTTCAACCTAAATTATGAACAAAGTCCGATTGTCATATGCATATAAAAATCAATTATTTCTTTCATGACTGTTATAAATCCTAGGTCCAGTGATATCATTTTCATGAACTAACAAATTCAGAACTTTATAAAGAAAGGCAAGGTTTTCTATCAAGTGAAGTAAAAGAAAGAATGCTTAGCAGGATTTATAGCTATTTTTATGTGGGATTTTTAAAAAAAACTTTTATAAATATTCATTTTAAACTTACAGAAAACAGCTACATTGATAAAGAGCTTAAAAATAACATCTGAAACAAATAATATAGACCTTTTCCTATTTTTAAATTGGCATTTTGAATATGTCCTTTTTCCTGGATGACAACCAATAAAAAAAAATTTAATTTTTCCCTCTCATCACCACAGTTTTTAATTTTTTTTTTTTTTTTAAACATTTCACCCAAAACAAGGCAATAAAGCCACTAAGATGCAAGAGGTTACTGAGTGTAAGATAATAAAGAAAAGATTATTATCATGTAGAAAGAACACTAAAAGAATAGGAATTAAGAATACAGAAGATAACAATTGACATTGCATTTAAACTTTTGAAGATCAAAGTTGACTGGAAAGCAAGAAACCAGTCACTCTCCTAGAGGTCAGCATCAGCCATGCTGATGGAAGGCAAAAAAAAAAAAAGGGTTCTCTCAGATGATTAAAAGAAAGCAGTCTTGTTTTGGAGACACTAAAATTATTAAAAATTTAAGGCATTAAAATTAATACAATCCAAAACCAGACTTGGAATGAGAAATCAGAAAGCCAAGTTTGAATTCCACTCAAGTTTGTTACATTCACTTATGTGCAAATACGCTTGGGGGGAAAAATATGAATCTGTCTATTCTTACCCAACTATGGATTAAATAGTAAGACATGTATCTAGAAAAATTGCTATCTCAAAAAAAATTGTTAATGCAATATATATATATATATATATATATATATATATATATATACACGCACAAAAAAAAAAAGAAGGAATTATTCTTACAATCTAAAATATGTTTCAGCTCTAAGTAACCCACAAAGGCTTGATAAGCCATAAATAAAACAATCAATTCAGGAAAATCTGCAAATTAGTTATAAAAAGGAATGCCACAGTATTCAGGTTATTGAAAACATTTTCATACACATTGGGTAGAGATAAAATCTTAAACTGTATGCAAATATTTTTATCCTACAGAATTTTGAAGTAGCAAATATTGTATAAATAACAGGAACTGTTGCAAGTTTGTTTTTTTTTTTTTAAATGACACTGACAGGCCAAAAACCTTGGAAAGCAGTATATAAAGGTAATGGCAGGTGGTGCCACCACCATGGAAATGCCCAAACCTATATCAATCATATTCTGACATCTGATGAGTTAGTGTGAACACTCACTAGGCTGTTCATAGAAAGGAAATGTAAATTATTGGAGTTTGAATAGAGGTATGATAATGAAGACAGCAACTCAGCTGAGCTTGTAATATTGCTAATTGGATCTTGAAGGACTGGCAATCTGTTCCAGTTTTTTTGTGCTGATGTTAGTTTGGGTAGAATGCAATTATCATGATGTCATGGATGACAATTGTCAACAAGGTACTATATAAATTGGTAACAGCTCCATATAGTCTAATGATATGAGTTAGGTCTGATGGTCCACCAAATCACCACTACAGGTGACTGTAGTATTGCACCGTTTCATCACCATTTGCCTCTATTCGTGGACTCTGTATACCAAAACATTGTTTTATTCCAGCAATAGCCATCATTGGGCCCAATTTTACCAGAATTGATTTTAGGAACATTTTAGAGTCTTTCAACAAATGGTGTGAACACCATGTTTACCAAAGATGAGTCTAAACAATAAATAGCATTCAAAGGTTGATATATGACCCTTCTCGCCAGTTGCTCCTTGATCAATTCCTATGCTGGTCAATACTGCCACTGGTTGTTGAAGTGGCTGTCCCAATCTATGCTCTGCTCCACCACGTTATGCTTTTTTATCTTGGAGCTGGCAAAGACTGAGTTGTCGTCATTATGTCACAAGGGGAAAAAAAAACGTTCTTAGCAGACAAAATACAAGAAGACAGGAAATTCTTCAGATCAGTTTTCTATGTGATTTATATCATTCTTTGTACAGAAATATTAACCTTTCCCACTTTGAATTCTATCGTGACACTTTGCTAATTTTAGTTAAGTCTGAAACAAAGCTTAAGTTGAGAGTTCTCTTTGGCAGAAAGTCAAATGGGCTTCGGCAACATGATCATCTCTCATCATCTGCCTCTCGAACTGGCACTGGTCACTTCAGTCTTCTTATATTGACTTTTACTCAAGACCAGCATGAGGCTGACGGTATTTGGAGATTCCAGGCTTTCCAACAAGAGTTCTTTGTTGTCTGGTTTTGGAAAATTAATTATCCTTCCAAATTTGGGAGAGCCCTTTTCCATGGGCTATGGTCATGTGTACTGACCGACCCATATATCCAATATTGATGCTTTGCACCATTACTTCCCAATGGGCATAGGCAATTCCTCCATCTATCTTGGTATCTCATCTAAGCCTTTTGCCATGATTGTCATTTTGATAAATCTGATTTTTTAAAGTACGTAGGCAAAATGTGGCATGGCCTAACCCCCAGTCATTAATTGTAATTGTCATTTTAATTTTCAAGAAATTTTTCCCAGTCTGGTCTTGTTTATATAATCAGAAATTTACCAGCTGTTTCCTCTGGCAGCTATCTCCATATCTTGTTGACTCAATTGCACTTATGTACCCTGGGATGGGTCTTTACATAAAGAAATTCTATATTTCAATTTGTTTACAATTTCCACTTTTTAATAGGTGAAATAAATCAGTTTCTTAATTCTACATTGTCTTTAAAAGTTATCAAATATTATCTTCTCAATTGACTTTCTTTCCTGGCTAATCCTTAGATGTTTTTATAACTTCTACTTAAAGCCAGCGCCATCAATGATCAGCCCAGCTTTTCCAAATGGCCTCTTTGGTAATATCATTCCTCAAAACAACAAAGTCATTTTCTTCAAGCCGTCTCTACTTAAAAAAAATATGCTTTCAAAAGTAAAAGAAATTTTGATTCTTCTCTTATTTTATCTATCATTCCATTCTTTAACCCTTTTCATCTTGTTCAAATTTATATTTTAACTTAACCCTTTTTTTGTTCTGTTCCAATCTCATATTTCAACTTAGCCATTTTTTTCATTTACTAGTGTTACAGATAAGCCTTTAAAAAAAACTCAGTCAATCCATCCTTACAACTGATACTATTACTATAGGCGATTTTAAAAGCTGAACAAAAAAAATAAATTTTTTCTTTGCCAAGTAAATGAAAAGTTACACCTTATTTTGAAATTGTTATCTGAAGGAGATAAAAGGAAAGAATTTCAAAAATAGTACTGATGAGATCAAGGCTAAATGCAAATGTCATTCAAGATACATTTTGCAACTATACTCAGCCAACTTGAAAAATTAAAACATCCAATAGATTAGATTGAATGATAAATAAATTACATGAATATTTTTAATGTTCATTTCATGCAAATCAAACAGTAAAAGATATATAACAATTTTAAAATATTTTTTGTTGATTGTTTGTGAATGTCTTGATTAGATGTTACTTTAATTTATTCCTTACTTCTATGAGAGTGATTAAAGTAATTTTAGTAACTGTTGTTGAAAACTACATTGAATTATAAGTAGAACACAGTTGATTGGCTACTAGAATAAATAAAAATGAAGTTGTTTACCGTTTTTTAGTGCACAAGTAGTAGATTTGCTGAACCTTAAAATTTAGAATATCTTTAAGATGAAAGAAATCGACCTAAATTTTATTTTTTCACTACTAAATAAAAAAATATTAATTTTGTTCCATTTTAAAATTCTTAGCCCAGTGTTAAGGTTGGAGCCTGCCATTTTGTAAATGATCATCATTAAATTTCCACTCCCACATTGCATGATAAACTATTATTGTTCTTATAACTGAATATAGTTTTCAACAACAGTTAATAAAATTACTTTAGCCTCCCACAGATGTAAAGTATAAATTAAATCAAGACAATTTTAAAATGCTGATGTTTTTTTTAATAAGCCTCTATATTGAAGCAAAATGTTTAGTTCATTCAGTCAGGTTTTTGACTTTAAACATTATGTAAATATTATCTTATCCATCCTCTTCTATTTTTATTTTTTTAATTTTTCAGCCAGATGCTGTGGTTAATATAGCAATAGACAAAATCAATTGTTTACTGGAGTCCTACATGGGTATCAATGATACAGAACTGGGTAAGTGTTGGGTGGAACACATGTTCAATCTTCTGTTTACTTGTCATTAATAGCACTTATAAAGCATTTAGTAGGCATTCATGGCTACTTACCAGAAAACCAAGTATCCTGAGGACATCAAGCTGAATAGTATTTAAATGGTAGGTATATGCAATTTATACAAAAGTGATACTTGGGTCGGTAATAAAAAGGTTTTACAAGTATGTGAACAATTACAGTATACATGTATAATAAATAAAATGCTAATTACAATGCTTACATGACTGAAATAGCATTTATGCCATAATATATATAAATGTTTGTGCGATTTAATTCAATGGTTATTGTATTTAATAAGTGTTTTGTTCATTGATCATCTTTTGTTTCATCAAAAATATAATATTGACATAATAAACTTATGTGTTATAGGCAGCTGAACACTCTTATCTGTGTAATGTTGAACACAATAGCAAAGGTACATTTGAATTATTCTCTGAAAAACAATACTGTTATACAAAATAAAATTGGTACATTGGCTGATGCATTATGGGTTGGGAATTCATTGTAAATAGTACCTGAAGATCACTTTTTGAGTGAAACTTTAATCCCAATTTTATGATAGCTTTCATTTATTGTATTCTTAGGCGTATATAGTAATCTTATTCTCTACATGGACCAACTCCATATAATTCTGATGCAGAGTTGGCTCTTTTGAAAACTTGATTCTTCTATAACTACATACCTAAAAAAATTATCCAAAATTTTAAAATATTCAATCTGTGAACTTACACTAAATTAGTAGATTCAACATCACACAAAATTATATACTTAATTAAAAGTATTCTTAAAAGAGCATATTCTGTTTTGTTTTTTTATTAAGATTTGTGAAAAGATTTTTAGTAAAGTTCATTTCCATTATTGAAGGGAACCACAAAAATGTAAAATCTACAAAATAAAATGTTGCAAAGGAATTAAGATGAACTTCTGTTTTCCTGAATACAGTGAATGATTAAAAAATATTAGCATAGTAATTATTTCTCACTTCTTATGGTTCATTCTTACCATGAAAATTCTTTTTCACAATGTATTGTTATCATAAAATGGCTATGTTGTAGCATGTTATCTTAATACTAAGAACCACATTCAGTCATTATCCTAATAATCTGAAAGTTAACTTTCTTTACACAAAATATGCTATTTAGTAGGTACTTCCAAAGATTTGTTAAAAACTGAAAATACACGATGAAAAAATGCCCTAAATTTAGTAAAAACAAAGTTTTATCATAAAAATCTTTTGTTATGAAGAAGAAAGACCAAAGGATTATTAAATTATATTTTTTTATCCTTTTTAGAAAATTCGAAATTTTGGTTAAAAATTTTGTTTTTCTTGCATCGGCAGGGTACCATAAATTAATATAGGTAATTTTAATGTCTTTTTTCAGCAAAAAAAAAAAACATTAATTTTGAAATTCTTGCAAAATAAAATAATTGTCGGATTTTATTGAAACTTTCTTGGACTTATTCACAATTGAATAAAGTTATTTTAGAAATATTTCTTTTTTAAAAAATCTTGTTAAAATCATTATTTTACATCTATTACACCCCACTTATTTAATTTTATGAAATTTAAAGAAAACTTTTTTTACTATTTACTGTTTATATTAGTTAAATGCAGATCTCCTTGGAGAATTTAAATCAATTTTTATTTTGTAAAACAGGACCCCCAGTTAATGAAAATCTGCTCTGAATTGTAAAATAAAAAATGCAATAAAACTAAGACATTTAGAAAATCTTTTAATTGCTTTTATGAATAAGATATATTATGAACACTATTGTCTTAAGAAAAATTCTTTTTTCAATTAATGATGAATTTTTACAAGAATTGTTTTCATTTTTAAAAATTTTAATTGGAATAATTTATAAAATTTTAAATATTTTAAAATTCTGTTTTAATTTTTGCCAGTTAGATGATATTGTTATTAAATAAAAATTACATTTACTAATCCTAAATGGAATAACTTACTACAATTCAACAACCACCAGTATTTTAAAAAGAATTTTGAATTTTTTTTGGGGGGGGGGTATAAATGTACCAATTTTTATAAATATGGACACCCATACATGACATTATCAGAAAATAAGTGGTAACTATAGTAAATTTAAAACCAAAGTAATTAAATTTCAATAAAACATTAGATCACAGAATATTTTCCTAAATTTTTAAGATTACTGGGTAGTTAAAAATTATATAAAAAAAGGTGCTCATGTTATATTGCTCAAATAATTTTTACACATATGTCCCCCATAGGAGAAAATTAAACTTCTAGCTGATGTCAATCTGTCAGCACTTAAAACACCTACCTCTGTGTTAAAAAATGTGTTTCTGCAATATTTTAAACTAAAAGTAATATTTGTTCCAAATCAGATTAATTAAACTTTAAATCTACTGATATTCCTTAAATAAAGTTTCAGTAAAGTATACTTTATTTTTGAAAGATTTTTTTTTTATAAAAGAGAATTACATTCTGCTGACAGATGGCTAAAAATGCCTAAAATTAACAATATTTTTTTATTTTTATTTTTTTAGCAATTTAAAAAAAGTAAAACCTCCTTCCAGTCAATTTAAATTAATTTTGAAATACAGCAAAGTATTTTGGTTACTGGAAATATTAAATTTAATCTATTAGCTTGAAGTTAAAACTAAAATAAAAGCTTTGAGAAAGATTTTTCATTTTAAACTATGAGTACCATATTTTTTTATCTTTTTTTTTTTTTTTTTTTGCGGTACTTACTATTTAATGTTAATATAATTAAGCAGTAATTTTTCTTCTAAGCAAGTTTTATTAAAAAAAAGTTTCTATGACTATTAAATTTATCAATCATCTTTTCCAAACTATACATCCGTTTTCATGAGCCTAGCTGCTGCAGATGCAAAAAAATCAAAGTTATGTCCCAACTTTTGACTCGTAGGAGTGAAGAAAAAAAAAAGTGAACGAAAGAAAATCAAAATTGTTTTAAGTAGGTCACTTTTTCTTTAGGCATGGTTTTATAGAAAATCCAGAAAATCATATCAGTAAAGTCTAACAGTAACCTGTATCAGTCACATGCAATGACATGTATTTAATTTTTATGCATTGAAATACAGGAAGCAATGGGTAAATTGTCACCATTTTATATTTTTAATTTGCATGTGCATTTGTATTTTGGATTTTGTCAACTGCACAGTATAGTAGGATCAGTTTGGCACCATCTGTGAGAAAAGAACACCGAGAGGCAATTCACTCTGCCAGGAATTTCGAAATGGCATGCTGTACTGCTAGGCATTCATATCAGAAGCTCAAATACAAACATTTCAGACCGTTTGGATGTCAATCTGAGGACAGTGCAGAGGATTCAGAAAGAGTTGGATGAGTATAATGGTGATTATGAAGATACAACAACTCGGAAAACTTATTCTGGGCATTCTGATAAGAAAAAAACTCAGAATTTGTTAGTTAGGGCCTCAGACTCAACACAGAGGCCTGCATCAGGTGTCTTGAGGAGGTAGTGCTGCTCTTGGTCAAGAGAGTGGCTGCTGGAAGACCCTATGTTTGGCAACAGAACTCTGCACCATGCTACACAAGCAGGAGAACTCGGTCATGGCTGTCAGGCAGTTTCTGCAGCCACATTACCCCTTACATCTGGCCACCTAACTTCCTAGACTGCAACCCCCTTGATTATTGTGTTGGGCATTGTTGAGCAAGAGACCAACAAAGCTCCTTGTCATACCAAAGATGAACTGAAGGCAAGGATTATGGCAGCATTCACCAACTTAAACAAGGAGACCACCCAGAAGATATGCAAGAGATTCCAAAGTCGTCTGGAGGCTGTGGTTGAAACCAATAGCTTTTTTTTTTTTTTTTTTATTGAACAAGTTTACTCTTTAGTATTTCAAGATATTTTTTTGTAATTTTTATATATATATATATATATATATATATATATATATATATATATATATATATATATATATATATATATATATAGCTTGTGTGTTAGTTTAGTACTACAAATATTAATTTTTTTTCTTTGTATGGAACTAGAAATTTATAGAAATAATGAAATATCTTCAAAATTCTACTTATCTAATTTCATTCTGCCTTAATAATCTCTTGTTATGTTTGGGTTTTATTTATTACTTGAAAATTAAATTTTCTTTTACTCAAAAGCTGCTGTTTTGTATTATGACATATCACTGTGCCAAAAGTCTTTCATGGCAAAAGCCAATTTATAGTATAAGAATTGAAAGCTGATGCTTGGGTAGATGCCACATGCATAGTTTATCAAGCTGGCCTTAACTGATCAAGATTAGGGGTACATTAAGTAAACTTTTATCCACAGAATTTAAATAAAATTTATTGATCAAAAACTGAATAAGGGTCTAATTTAGTGTGGAGGAGAAAGTGCAGTTGTAATAATCAGTCTTTAGCCCTGAGCAGATTTGGCATTCTGTCTTGGCACATAACTTTCTTTGGAACACTTCCCATTATTGCATTAAGGGCTGATTTCTTCATGAAGAAAACTTTAACAAAGTGGCATCTGTATTTAACCTTTTCTTGACTAAATAGTACATTCTCTATTTGTTATCTGTCTTTGATAAAATCATCAGTTTCAAACTTACTTTACTAGTGTATAGCTTATATATAAGTGGACACTACATGCTTGAACACAATCTTCAGACCATCATATAATAAATTTAGGATCATTCCATATTCTAACACTTAAAGAAAAAAACATGTTTAATGTTTGCATGAATCTGAATCGGAGTGAAAAAAGTTTAAATTTAATTCAGTTATCTAGAAGTTATGTTACAAGGAGTGCTGAAAAGTTCTCATCCTGTCTAAGAAGGGATTGGTCATTTAATCAGGTTTTGGGACCAGTCAAGAAATTTTCAGCACCTTCCCATATATGTTTGTGCTTTAGATCATGGAATTAAATGCTCTTGTTTTGCATTATTCAGATAATCATTGATCATATGAATCTTATTCTTGTATACCCAGAAGATTGATATAATTCCAATCTTCAGTTTTTAAAGAAAATTTTAAAATAGGTCATTTGTGATATTAGCTTCTATTTTGACCTTATTGAACTGATCAGACTTATTATCGAGACAGGAGTAAATGGTTGTGTCATCAGCATAGATATCAATTTGAGCTGTCATCAGGAAGGTAGGACTAAGGATAAAACCCTGGGGGACACCTGCACATAAATTAATCTATAGAAGGTTGAGTAGATGAAAATTTTGGCTTGAAAAAATATTCAAATCACCCATTAAGAAAGGAAAAGAAGAAAGCAGATAATGTGTAAATACAAAATTTTTATATTCCAAAAATTGTTGAGATGCTTTATAAAAATTGTTTCCTTTTTTTCTAGTTTCTTCTCATGAAGACAGTTTCTGTACAACAGGAAATAAACTAGATATTAAGATATCTTAATGACTCCTCTTACTACTTCAACCAGGACTATTACTCCAACTGCTACTCAGGCAAATTACTTGATATGTTGTCCTTTTATTTATATCTGGCACACAGACATAGTAGAAACATGAATACATGCAAATATATAACAAAAAAAATCCCCAGCTTTATTTGAATGTCTGCTAATTGAAGGCTATAACATTTCTAATAGCTTAATAACTATACATAAGACTTAATAAAATTTTATTTTCAATTGTTATCCAATCTATTCGGATGTTGTATCAATAGTTTTTAATAAAAAGAGTTTTTTTTTATTTTGTTTGAAATTGTTTAATTAATAGAATATGTTCTAATAATTTGTTCACTAGAATTTAATTTGTTTGTTTTGCCAAAGCTTAATTTATCAATTTTATTTTTCTTCATGCACTACAAATCCTTTTTATTGACAAGTTTATATTTTTATTATTCTAGCTCAAAACATCTGGGAAATTGGTAACAAGAAGGATAATCCTCATGATTTTGCAACGGCTGTTGATGAGTCAGAACTAGAAGCCTTTGGTTTTACAGATGATTTCATCTTTGATCTCTGGGGTTCTATCAGTGATGCTAAATCAGGACGACTCAATAAACAACAAGATTTCTCACAGAATTTCTGAAGTTCAGATCAAATGAATTCTACAAAATGTAACAACTGATATAGCAAGAATTTAAGCAAGGACTGAATCAACTCAATTTTTTTCTTTAATATTTTGTTTATCCTTCATTTAGTTAGTTTGATTTTAAAATAGAGTTTAACAAAAACATTCAACCACATTTTGTATTAGAAATCATTACATGTTTCTTTTTTTAATTATAGTAAGAAAAACACTATTCTACTAATCTTTCATACAGTAACTGTTACATTTTTTAAGTGGAGGAATTTGTTTTTATAAAACATGCTGAAATCATTGTTTTTCAAATTGATATTTTGTCGCAAAAAAATAAGTTTTGTTGTTGTAACACACTACACATCAACAACCTCACATGCAAATGCAAACATTTATCATTTGTTATGCTTTTTATACCCCTAACCACTTTTCTTTTTTTTCTCCAAATCAATGGTGCCTTAATATTTAGGGGGGAAAACTGTCAAAAATTTAAGCAAAATAGGTTTTGATAAATAGTTTTTTTTTTTTTTTTTTTTAATTTTTTTAATCCTGACATTATAAATTCTAGATGCAAATTTTCTGCATGAAAAAAAAACACTCTCTCATACACACACACACACATATATATATATATATATATATATATATATATATATATATATATTTTTTGCTTTTACTTACATTTGTTGTAATGCCAAAAACATTGATTATCAATTTTCTTCTTTGATAGATTGATCAGAAATATCCATAATTAACTTTTTGAATATCTCAAATCTTTTCTTGCTTATTTAGCTTGGAATCAGTCACCCAAATTGATATTCTAAAAATGTTTGTTTTCAAACCTTGATTATTTTTTTTAATATTTATTTAGACAAATATCCTCAATTTAAAATTGACAAACATTTCCAGTTAACTCAATTTCTTTTTCCTTGTTGAACAATCTTTAATATGTAAAAGAATTTAACATTCAGCTACAGGTTGTGAAAAGCTATTGAAAAAAAAATTTCTATCAAAGTCTTTGATATTTGTTTAAAACTATTGGTGGAGGGAACTTTCTCTGGTACAACATGACCATTATATAGGTGTCAAAATAAACTTTTTTTTTTTTTTTTTTTTTTTTTAAATAATTGTGTCAAGAATCACATGGTGTCAGCTGAGAAGACATATATATTTGCAAGCCAATTAATATACAATATTGTTTGTTTGGAGTTATTTACAACCAAAATTTTGACATAAAGTAAAGCAAGAGGTATGATTGTTTACAGAGCAATTTTCTTTATTTTAGCAATTATTATATCATCACTGTTTATCATTGAACCCAGTATAACAGATGTAACTAAAGACTATACAGATACAGTTATTAAACTAACATCAAATTGATAAGTAATAAATAATCAAGTAATTATACAGGCAACCAAAATAAGATGTTGATGGTTGATGAAACTGTATATTTAACATCTGTGATACATATTTAAAACCTTGAAACATGAATACTGTGTGTTTCTCAAAGGAAATTTAGATTTAATAATAATATATGCAAAATGACATTTTTTTTTCTCTGAATACAAGATTACTACTTAGAAAAAAATATTTTTTAGTTGACAATTTTTAGACAATTTAGAATTTTTAAAATAAGGATTTAAATGTTCTCAAGTATTTTTTCTCCCCAAAGTTCCTAATTTGGATACTTGGGTGCATTTACATTCTTTAACCCATTAACTGTTGCAGAAATTTCCATCATTTGCAACAAATAGCAATAAAAGAAATTGGCATCACTTGCAGTTTATGATTTCTGAGTCTTGTGAAAGTCAAAAAATTTTTAATTAATGTGAAGTAAATGTTTTTTCTTTCCAACAAAGTACAATATTTTGATTCTAATGCCTGATTTACTCATTACTCCCCCCTACACACACACACACACACACACACACACAATACCAGATGCTTGTAACTTTCAATACAGGATTTAACATTAACCAGGATATTAGTCAATAATGTAGTATATAAAAACTTGCTTCAAGATAATCAAAGAGTTTGTTAATCATACCAGAATTATGGGGGCAACCCACACAAAAAAAGAAGAAATGAGGATATTAGTCTGAATAAACTGAATGTCAGTGATACCTCATGTTACAAATCTCACATTATGCTTTCTTTTAGGTCACACTTATGTAACATAAAAATAAACAGTTTTTTTTATTTGAAAACAAACACAAAACAAGTGGAATGTGAAATAAAGTTTGTCTGATTCAGAACAAAAAAATGTGTCACTTCATTTCTTAATTTTTTCTTTTTCTTGGAGTAATAAATAAAAATCTTTAAAAAAAAAAGAAAAATGACAAGAATTACTATAATGATAATTCTATTTGCATTTTCTCTACTTTAAACTGCTACTTTATATAATTTAATTTCTTTTTAAATCACTTGTATTCAACTCGGTTATATTATTTGGGTATTTTGCCATGATAATACCAAAATAGACTTTGCACCCAATGTCACACCAGACGATTAAAGAAGTCAAATGCATCAGCAGTTTGATCTAAGAAATGACTTCCTAGCCAGAGAGAGATCTAAATTTCATATGATGTCAGTGACTCTCCTCAATATGAAAACATGTTCAACACAGCTGTACTTACAATGTGCACATGTGGAGAAAAATACATAAACACTCACCTGAGAGAAGTCTACATGAGAATGTAGGGTCAGTATTTGTACCTACTGATTGACAGTAATTGATGAAATTCTGAATTGAATAGTATAATGTTACTTATGAGAGATTCAGCCTCATACTATTGTTTGCAATGTATAATGAATATATATTATATATGAATGTATATTACATTAATGACTTTATTAATGAGATTATTATTAATATATAGCAACTTTGGTTCTTGATGGGTAGTTTGCACAATTTGCCTTGAATCAGATTGTTTAGTAAATGTGTAAAAATTTCTGTGAGAGTATATTTGTAATAGGACAATATGAATAAAGATGAAAGGAAAACTTAGCTGACATTTGCTTTAATAAAGTCCCTCAGAGGACAAAATGCAATGGCTAAAATAAATTTTCCTTTTGTCTTTATTCATATAGTAAATGTCTGTCTTTATTTATTTTTGTATTAGTCATAAAGGAGAACTTCAGCAGAAAGAAAATTAGATTATTTGATACTCGTTATGCTATGAAGTAACGTCTGTGTTTATTCCATTTTATATAAAGTAGGGTGTTCCTGAGTTTGAGTCTGCTATCATTATGCACATATATTTGATGATATCACCTGCCTTAATAAATTTATAGAAGCATTTTATGTTTCACTTACTCCTCTTTTGAAGAAAAAAAAAACACTTTCCAAATATATGAGCATGAAATTTTGACTCTGAACCACTTCCCAAACCTGAACAAGCACCATATTTTTTACTTTGTAAAGCATCTTGGTCAGGCTGTGAACTTTGCAGCATCCTATCATATAGTGGTCAGGTGTGGTCAAAGGCTTTAAGATTCAAGTCCCATTACCAAATTGTTGGGGGTTATTAGTTTCACATAATACGAAATTGATTTCAAAGTAAGGAAAAATATTCCCCACCCAGCTACCACAATCTTATTTTCATGCTTCCTAAATAGCAATTATCGAATAACCCATAAGAATACATTCAAAATATTGCAGTACTTATCTGTCTATCTCTCTCTCATATAAATAAATATAGTTTTAAGGTGTGCTATATTTATGGGATAAAGTGATCAATATCAAAGATAGAGCGTATGTAAATATAAAAGTGAACATAGAAGTCAACACTCAGAGGAGACAGGCTGTTTCATGCTGTACACAAAAAAGGCAGCCTGACGATTGTGTCCAGCATGAAACTGCCTGTCACCTCTGAGTGTTGACTTCAATGTTCACTTATATATATATAATGTGTGTGTGTGTGTAATATATAATTATTTATTTAAAAATTATAACATAAATATGTCATAAAATCACTACAAAAATAGCCATTTTGTTTCAACACCTCTGGTATCTTATCAAGTGATGGTGTTGAATGTAGAATAAAGGGTTTTAAAAGGTTTAAATTAATTAAGGGAAATCGCTGTTACATAAGCTGGAATGACCAATCAAAATACAAGAATTCAAAAAAACTTGACAGCAAAGTATGGTTATAATAACTATTAAATGCTTTAAAGTTGGGGTTATCCTAAAATAGAATTTATTAAAGTATTAAATTATATGATAAAATTTGAAATTAAAAACTACCCATTTTAAAATCTAAATTTAATCTCTATTAAGTTTAAAATTATAAAATTACTGAGGAAAAAAGAAAAAATATGTTGTTCCATTTATTTTGTTTTTACTGAAATTACGTTGGAATAAACGTTAAGATCGACTGCTCTTAACTTCATGACAACATGGATACAAATGTGGGCAGGGGATGATGACATCGTGCAAAAGACAATATATACACAATCAGATTATAATACATAAGCACGCAGACACATTTAGATATATACACACACAAAAAAAGTGACGAGACAGGAAATATCTCCATGACTCTTTACAAAGAAAAAAAACACACATACACAATGAAATGTGCATGCAAGTTACTATACACATAGACACCGATAAAGACACATACATTGACATAGACACTCCAATACAACACCCAAGAAATATTCAAGATTGAAGGTGTTATTAAACAAATTCTAACCACTTATTAAAATATAACTTATATGGGCAAATATACATAGAAAAAAATGGTCTAATAGAACAGAGAAACAAACAATGAGGAAAGAAAGGACATTAAAACAGATATATACATATAAAAATAACACCATCTAACATATAAAAAACGAAAATTCAAAACACACAAATATATATAAAAATATATTTTTCATATATGTCTATATATGCCTTATTGTACA